ATTATTCTACATGATCTCCGCTACAAGGATTGATGTATTAAATTTTAAAATTAATAAAGTTACGATTATTAAAGCGATGCAACGGGCCAAAATCGCGTTGCCTTTGCCTGAGTCTTTCGCGTCAGATACATTCTTATAATAAACATTCTTATAATAATACATTCTTATAATAAACTGACGATTATTAAAGCGATAAAGCGGGCCGAAATCGTGACGCCTTCGCCGAAATCGTCTGCGTCAGATACATTCTTCGCTTACATCTCGTCTACCGTTAAAGATATCGATACTATTTGAAAAAAACATTATTCTACATGATCTCCGCTACAAGGATTGACGCATTAAAATTTTAAAATTAATAACCTTACGATTATTAAAGCGATACAACGGGCCGAAATCGTGATGCTTTTGCCGAGATCGTCCGCGTCAGATATATTATTCGCTTTGATCTCGACTACCGTTAAAGATATCGATGTTATTGGAGAAAGGCATTATTCTACATGATCTCCGCTACAAGGATTGACGCATTAAAATTTTAAAATTAGTAAGCTTACAATTATTAAAGCGATAAAGCGGGCTGGAACTAATTTAGAATCTGGTTATTAACTTGCTGAGAGGTTTGTAAATATTCTCGCGCTATTATATTCTTAATAGAGATTAATGGCGCTATTATATTTTTATACTTGTATCCCTTGTTATACTTAATATTGCATTACGCATATCTTAGCCACGTCTATGAGCATTTGTCGCCAGTAATATATTTTTGTATTTAATTTTATCATCGTCATTGTATACGTCAGTTATTAGCGAATCGTTTAATGATATATATGAATTTGATCTTTTTGTTCCATACTTTGACTCTTTCTTCAGATGCTTGTCTTCGAGCATACTCGATGGTTCGATTTTCGTTTCATTAGATTCCACATTGATTGTATTTTTGACCAGTTGTTTTAGAGGTTCGATAATTGGTTTAAAGTGCCTCTCCAATGCGACGTCTTCCTCCATTTGACCGGTTTTTAAAAAACCATATTTTTTGCGGATTGATTCACTCGTTTTTACAATCTCTCTCGCAATTTTCTCGCGATCGTCACTGTCAATCGTCGTCGCCATGTTGCGCTCGAACGAAAATTTTTAGACGTTGCTCGATCGATGTATCGATAGCGACTAACCACTTTACGGTATTGCAAAATCGTTAAATCCTTTTCGATATCGTCCATCAGTCTGTAAGCTGTCTTTATCAATCACTACAAATCCATACTTGTGTTGCCAACATTTCTGACAGAATGCGCGAAAATCGCCGTGAGACATGTCAGTATTTACATGATCGTTGTATACATGTTTCAAGTTTGTACCATCTTGTTTAAATAAAATCAGTAAATTTGCATTGTCCCGTATGAGATGCTTGGGTATCTTGGCATACGTTTGACAAAGATAGAAACAGTCGATGCTCGAGTGTCGACCCATTGCACAGTACTCTCTTATCGTATCTTGCTTATGGCATGCCACGTCGTCAAAGATAAAAATGGAATTCGGAAGCGCCTCGCTCGGTGGAATAACGTCACTATTATTAGAGAATGTAAAATAACCAATTTCATCGATCGATAATAGCAAATTTTCCAAGTATCGATATTTCGGTTGCTGAAGTGATTTCGAGTATACGTACACATTCTCGAAATGTACACCGTGTGGACTTTCTATCAAACTTATCAACACGTTAGTCTTACCGCAAATGATACCGCGTATAGTGGTCGGCAGCATGTTTCCATGCTTGCGTATTCTTTCTCAGACATTATTCGTGTTTTATCGTCAAAATTTAACACTTTGATTATCGTCGCTTGTCGCGCGAACCGCATGTTTGCTCTCGCGAATCTCAAATCCGTCAATTTGGATGACGTCGATGGTTCCGGTACTCATTGTGTTGCGTATGCAAAGAGGGGAGATCGTGTAGTATATTTCGATAGTTTTGGAAATCTTCGACCGCCCAAGGAATTAGTGCGATATTTTGGACAGAATGTTGCAAATATAGAATACAATCACACGGCCTATCAAAATTATAATCAAAGTAGATTTTTTTAGATTTAGATTAGAATGTCTTTATTGTTCCCCAAAGGGGTTACAAATATCTACATAACTTAGCGCATCTTATACATATCCTTAATCTATCCTAACTTATACTATTTAAACTACTTAAACTAACGTATGCTATCCATATTCTATCTTTCCTTCCTGCCTATACACACACACACGTTAACTTCCTAAACCATCTTAGTCTATTTTGGACCTCCGCTTCCAGTTTTTAATAATCTACTTCACATTCTCTCCTCTTTCCTTCCTCCCTCCTTCATTCTCTCTCATTCTTCCCACCTTCCATCTCTTTCTCTCACCCCCTTTCTCTCACCCTCTCTCTCACTCCTATTACTCTTCCCTTCCTCCGTTCTCCTGTATTCATTCACCCCTCTTTTCTCTCTCATTCTTTCACTCCCTCTCTTCCTCCCCGCCCCTCCCCTCTGCCCTATCCCCCTTCTCCTCAATACTTCCTTCATTCATTTCTCCCCCTTCCCTTCCTCTCTTAATATTCTTTCCACCGCCTCTTGCCAACTTTCCTCCCCCTCTCCTTCTCCTCTCCTGCATCCGTCCCATACATGTTCCCATGTCTCTCTCTCTCTCTCTCTCTCTCTCTCTCTCTCTCTATTACATACCCTACATACTTTTTTCTCTTCACTTTCCCAATACCTACTTCCCCTCATTTCATTGCCTAGCCTAAATCGTGTCATCCTTCCCCACCTCTTCTCCGACCAACTCTTTTTTAAATACTCTGGTATCCCTCTCTCTCTCGATTCCATGCCAATTCCTCTAGCCCTGTTTCTCTGAAATATCTCTCTCTCTCTCTCCTTCTCCCATTCCGAAACTCCTCTACCCTTTTCTGATCTTTTCTTGATTTCTTCCAAATAATCCTTCGCTAAACTACCTCCTTTCCCTTTTTCTAGTCTTTTTTCAAAGTTCCATACTCTTCTTGCCGCCCTACTTCTAAGTTTATCCCTTTTTAATTCCTCCCTTACCATGTATCCTGGTGTTCTCCTGTCTACTCCTAGTAACCACTTTAAGAATCTTTCTTCTACCTTCTCTACTTTTTCCCTTTCCTTCCAACCCCATACCTCTACTCCATAACTTAACACCGTCCAAACTAATGCATCAAAAAGCCAGATCCTCTTCCTTATATCTTTTCCAAATTTTCTCTTCCCTATACTCCATACTTGCCCCATAATTCCCACCGCCTTCCTTACCCTGTCTTTTACATGACCATTTGTCTACCATTTGAATGAATCACGTATCCTAAATATTTTATTTTTTTAACCTCCTCTATCCTCTTCCCTTTCCACATCCACTTTACTCTTTTTTTCCTGCCCCCTCCCTTTCTAAATACCATTATCTTTGTTTTCAGTACGTTCACCTCCAGTCTCTTATTGTCCATGTATCTTTCAGTCCTTGCTTGCCCTCATCTCATCTTCCTCTTCCGCTAACAGCACGATATCATCTGCGTATGCCATGGAGAACACCTTCCTCTCCCCCAACTTAACTCCACCCCGTTTTCCCCTGGCAATTTCCTCCTCCATATCTGCTGTCACCATATTAAATAATATCGGACTTAACGGACATCCCTGTCTCACTCCTCTACCCATCCAGAATTCTTCACTTATCTCTTCTCCTATCCTCACTCTACTCTTTGTCTCTCCTATCACCTCTTCTATCCTTTCTATCAGTCCCTCTCTAACCCCTCTTTCCCGTAAAGCTCTTACCAGCACCTCCCTGTCTACCGAGTCAAAAGCCGCTTTCAAATCTATAAACACGCTTATTAATTTCTTTTTCTCCCTGCTAATCTGTCTTTGCGCCAAATAATTCAGTACATATACATTGTCCATCACCCCTCTTCCTTTTCTAAATCCTGTCTGATTCTCTGGTATTATACCTTTCTCTTCTACTTCCTCTCTTAGCCTTTCTGCCAAAATCGACGTGTATATCTTATACAACGTTGACATAAGCGTAACTCCTCTATAATCCGTGACTTTATCTCCTCCTTTTTTCACAATCGGTGCTATTATCCCTTCCTTCCATCCCTCTGGCCATCCCTCTACTCTCCATACCTTATTACACGTTTCCCATACCCATTTTCTTATATCTTCTCCCCCGTATCTCCATACTTCATTTGGTTTATCATCTAATCCCATAGCCTTGTTTAACCTTAAATTGCTCATAATCTTATTAATTTCTTCCCATTCTATTTACCTCTTCATCTCTTTTCTATTCCTTCTCCCTCTTCCTCTCCGAACTCTTTCCTCCATTCCTCCTAATAGCCCCATAAAATACTCCTTCCATTCCTTCATCTGTATCCCTTCCTCTACTTCTTTCCTTTTCCTCCTCTCCCTATTAACTATCTCACATACTTTACTTTGCGTTCTCGCCTCTCCTGCTTCCCTTATTAATCTTTCTCCCTCCTCTTTCTTTTTCCTTTCACACATCTCCTTGTATTCTCTCTTTTCCTCTCTATACCTTCCTCTCTCTTCTTCTCCTCTCCTCCATTTCCTTAACTTAAGCCTTACCTCCTTCTTTTTCTCTATACACTCCTTATCCCACCACCCCCCCTTTTTTTCTCTTCCTTTCCTTCCCCTCTCTCGCTCTCTTCCAAGGCCTTCTTTATCCTTTCATTCATTTTCTCTATCTCTTCTTCCGTCCCTCCTCCTTCCCCCCTGTATTTATTTTTCCTATTTCCCTCCTAAATTTCTCTCTCCCCTCCTCGTTTCATATCCCTCTCCTGCCTTTTTGTCTCGCTTTCCTTTTCTTCTTCCAACTGTCTTCCCCTTTTATCCAGTAAATCACCGGGTGATGATCCGAGTCTATGTCCTCTCCTATCTCTAATTTTTCTATTTTTTCCCATGTCCCTTCATTTCCTAATACATAATTTATTACCGTGTTTCCCCTCCCCCCGGTATACGTGTATTCTCCTTTTTCATCTCCTCTTATATTCCCATTCATTATACTCCATCCAGTTTCCTCTAGCACCTCTACCAATCTCCTCCCTTCCCTATTACTCTTCTTATCTTTGGAGTTCCTATTCTTTCTAATCTCTTCCTCCTCCCCCATATTTACCCTACATCCCATTTTTCCTGTTCTGGCATTAAAGTCACCTCCTATTACTACTCTTTTCTTTCCTCCTCGCTCTCTTCCATCCACTTCTCTAACCCCTCTATCTTCCTCTCTAAGTCCTCGTTCACATATATTCCCACTATTCTCCACTCCTCCTCCCCGCTTTTTAATGTCCCCGTCATCATCCCTTCCTCCATTATTTCGATTTCTCCTATCTCCATTTCCCTTTTTCTTCTTATCCCCATTATCATTCCTCCCATTGCTCTTCCTTTTTTATTCTTTCTGCTCGCGTATTGTACCCCCCATTTAAAACCCTTCAGTAACCTGCTTTTTAATCCCCTCCATCCTTTCTCATCTACCCATGTCTCCATGAGTACTATAACGTCCCACTCCCCAATCCTATCCCAAAAACCCTTATCTTTGTTTTTCAAACCTGCTATATTCCAGAACGTTATCTTCCAAATCTCCTCCTCCTTACCACTCCTCTTACGTCTCTCTGTTCTCCCTCTCCCCCCTTATCTCTCTCTTGTTTGTCCTCCCCTCCTTCTCCCCTGTCCTTATCAATAGCTCCTCCTCATCTTCCTTCCCCTTTATTCCCCCTGTCTCTCTCCCCTATGTCCTACTCTCTCCCCCTTCACTTCCCCTCTTTCACTTTTCAACACTTCCTCTTCCTCATACCACTTCCACCATTTGCCATCTATTTGCAATCCCCCATTACCCATCCGTCCCCTCCTGCCTTCTCCTTCCTCTTTCCTAGCTATCTCCCTGAGCCTCCATCTAACCTTTCTTTCCTCCCATGTTAAATCATCATCTATCCTTGCCTCTCTTCCCCTCAACTTTTTCTTATTCTCCATAACTTTTCTTTTCTGTTCAATGCTCCCTAACGTCACCACCGCCATTCCTCTCTCTCCTTCCGTCATTATCCCAACTCTTTTAACACCTTCTATTTTTATATCTACTCCTAATTTTTCCAAGATCTTTTCTACTCCTCCTCTTACATCTCCTTTTTCCATTCCTACTCCCATAATGGGATTCCGATGACCGGGAATTCTGATGTAAACCGCCGCCGCCATGGCTAGTTGAGACGCATCCGAAAATCCGTGTATTTCAACTGTCGAAGCGTTGGAACGTAGGATGCCGAGCCATCTTGGTATTGAAACTTGCTCGATTTGTAACAATTGATGTCGGAAGGTTGTCCATCTCTCTCGTATTTCATTAGGGAGGGGTTCATCCCACCCTGTCTTCAACAACCAGAGTTCTTGCAGAATGATCTTCGCTTTGATCAGAATGGGCGAAATTAGCCCCAACGGATCGTATAGTTTTGCGATGTCCGAAGCAATCGCTCTTTTGGTAACAGCGGAAGCAGTCGGAATCGTGGACGAAAAATGTAGTATGTCTGAACAGGGCCGCCAGACGAGACCCAAGATCTTGCAAAATTTTCTCTATACACTCCTTATCCCACCACCCCCCCTTTTTTTCTCTTCCTTTCCTTCCCCTCTCTCGCTCTCTTCCAAGGCCTTCTTTATCCTTTCATTCATTTTCTCTATCTCTTCTTCCGTCCCTCCTTCTTCCCCCCTTTATTTATTTCTCCTATTTCCCTCCTAAATTTCTCTCTCCCCTCCTCATTCCATACCCCTCTCCTGCCTTTCTGTCTCACTTTCCTTTTCTTCTTCCAACTGTCTTCCCCTTTTATCCAGCAAATCACCGGGTGATGATCCGAGTCTATGTCCTCTCCTATCTCTAATCTTTCTATTTTTTCCCATATCCCTTCATTTCCTAATTCATAATCTATTACCGTGTTTCCCCTCCCCCCGGTATACGTGTATTCTCCTTTTTCATCTCCTCTTATATTCCCATTTATTATACTCCATCCAGTTTCCTCTAGCACCTCTACCAATCTCCTCCCTTCCCTATTACTCTTCTTATCTTTGGAGTTCCTATTCTTTCTAATCTCTTCCTCCTCCCCCATATTTACCCTACATCCCATTTTTCCTGTTCTGGCATTAAAGTCACCTCCTATTACTACTCTTTTCTTTCCTCCTCGCTCTCTTCCATCCACTTCTCTAACCCCTCTATCTTCCTCTCTAAGTCCTCGTTCACATATATTCCCACTATTCTCCACTCCTCCTCCCCGCTTTTTAATGTCCCCGTCATCATCCCTTCCTCCATTATTTCGATTTCTCCTATCTCCATTTCCCTTTTTCTTCTTATCCCCATTATCATTCCTCCCATTGCTCTTCCTTTTTTATTCTTTCTGCTCGCGTATTGTACCCCCCATTTAAAACCCTTCAGTAACCTGCTTTTTAATCCCCTCCATCCTTTCTCATCTACCCATGTCTCCATGAGTACTATAACGTCCCACTCCCCAATCCTATCCCAAAAACCCTTATCTTTGTTTTTCAAACCTGCTATATTCCAGAACGTTATCTTCCAAATCTCCTCCTCCTTACCACTCCTCTTACGTCTCTCTGTTCTCCCTCTCCCCCCTTATCTCTCTCTTGTTTGTCCTCCCCTCCTTCTCCCCTGTCCTTATCAATAGCTCCTCCTCATCTTCCTTCCCCTTTATTCCCCCTGTCTCTCTCCCCTATGTCCTACTCTCTCCCCCTTCACTTCCCCTCTTTCACTTTTCAACACTTCCTCTTCCTCATACCACTTCCACCATTTGCCATCTATTTGCAATCCCCCATTACCCATCCGTACCCTCCTGCCTTCTCCTTCCTCTTTCCTAGCTATCTCCCTGAGCCTCCATAAATGCCCAGGTGTTAGAGCAGAATAATCCGAGACATCGTCAGATAGCGGACAGAGCGGCCGAGAATTTAATACCGCTTCAATCTGAGTGGTGATGGTAGTCATCTCCTCATACGTTACGGCGGTGTCTCCCAGTACACGTCGCAGATGGAACTTCACGGATTTTACAGCAGCCTCCCATTTTCCTCCAAAGTGTGGAGCTGATGGAGGGTTGAACCTCCACTCGGTACGGTCGTTGGCTAGAAGCGAGGCGAGGCTGCCAAGCTCCTTGGAAGATTGTGCAAATAAGCGTTTTAACTCTACGTCCGCTCCCACGAAATTCGTACCACAGTCGCTTTGCAGTGTTGCGCATATGCCTCTTCTTCCAGCGAACCGTTTATAGGCAGCAATAAACGCATCCGTAGTATAATCCGTGACTACTTCGATATGCACAGCCGATGTAGTGAGACAAACGAAGATGGCGAAGTAGCCTTTATAGGACCGCGCCGCCCGCCCTCTCCAAGTTCTCAGCGTCACGGGACCGGCGTAGTCAAGACCTGAATTGTAGAAAGGCCTCGCTGAAGTCACTCTGGCCGTTGGTAATTGACCCATAAGCTGCCTTGCTCGAATGCCGCGATAGCGAGCGCAACGTCCGCATCTCAGTATGTAAGATCTTACAGGCGCTCTTCCACCAATAATCCAAAAGATTTCGCGCAAGAGGCTTAGGGTAACTTGAGTGCCCCCGTGGAGCGATCTCCGGTGAGCATCACCGATGACGAGTGTCGTTAGTGGCGACCTTCTAGGTAGAATGAGCTGATGTTTAGCTTCGATATCGATCTGAGCGTAATGGAGACGCCCACCGACTCGTAATAATCCATCTTTATCTATAAATGGCGTAAGTCGCACCAGGAAATTGGATTTCGGCAGTTGTTCTTCTCGTAGGATGAGCCGTATCTCTTCGCGAAACCATGCTTGCTGTATGATCTTCACCCACAAATCACGACTTCGATGAATCTCTATCGGGGTCAATGGATAATTAGATGGAGAAGATTGTGGTACCTTACGCAAACATGAGATAAATCTGCCACATGTTGCAGTGATGCGTAATAGTTTCATAAGAGAAGAATATTTGTTCAAAAGCTCCCAGTAGGTAGGTCGACTTGTGGTAACCATTACATGCCCGGGTCGTTCTTCCAAGTTCGAGTTTGGCGCAGGTCTATGTCCAATGGAAGGCCAGGATGTTCGTGATTCGGATAGCCACTTGGGTCCGTTCCACCATAAATTATGGTGAATCAGTTGATCTGGTGTCAGGCCACGCGATGCAAGGTCCGCGGGATTTTCTTTTCCCGGCACATAACGCCATGAACCACTAGGCAGAATTTCCTGTATGGCGGATACACGATTTCGAACGAAATCTTTCCAGCGCGATGGATGAGGTGTGATCCAGGTGAGAGTCACCGATGAGTCCGACCAACAAAACACCGTTGCCTCATGCAGCTCGAGAGCTTTTGATGTCTGTGCTATCAATCTTGCTAATAGCAGAGCAGCAGTGAGCTCGAGTCGAGGAATGGTGAGCCGTTTGAGAGGCGCTACTCTAGTCTTCGTGCATATCAATTGCACAGAGCCTTTGTCTTCGTCACCGGGAATTCTGATATAACCCGCCGCCGCCATTGCTAGTTGAGACGCATCCGAGAAGCCGTGAATTTCAACTGTCGAAGCGTTGGAACGTAGGATGCCGAGCCATCTTGGTATTGAAACTTGCTCGATTTGTAACAATTGATGTCGGAAGGTTGTCCATCTCTCTCGTATTTCATTAGGGAGGGGTTCATCCCACCCTGTCTTCAACAACCAGAGTTCTTGCAGAATGATCTTCGCTTTGATCAGAATGGGCGAAATTAGCCCCAACGGATCGTATAGTTTTGCGATGTCCGAAGCAATCGCTCTTTTGGTAACAGCGGAAGCAGTCGGAATCGTGGACGAAAAATGTAGTATGTCTGAACAGGGCCGCCAGACGAGACCCAAGATCTTGCAAAAAGCGGGTTCGATCTCTACATCCGAGAGCGTTTCCTTATTGGATTGAGGCAAAATCTCAGGTCGGTTACTATTCCACTTTAGCAATGGAAATCCTCCCGCTTCGCAGAGCTGAATTAGTTGCTGCATAATGTCTTTTGCCTCGGATGATGAATCGGCTCCTCCAAAGATGTCGTCCACATATCTGCCCTTCGTCATGGGAACGACCGCTTTAGGAAACGGTGTCCCTCATCCTTCACCAATTGTTGAAGAGTTCTTAATGCCAAGAAGGGCGCACAGTTCAAGCCGTATGTTACCGTTGTAAGACGATAGGCGATAAGTTAATTATCCTTTCCGAACCACAGGATTCTCTGAAGGTCCCAGTCGTCGGGGTGAACGGCGACCTGTCGGAACATCTTCACGATATCGGCAGAAAAAAGAACTCTGTGCGTGCGTGTCCAGAGTAGAATTTCGCACATATCGGTTTGAAGCTTTGCACCAGCGTGGAGAATATCGTTCAGCGAGAGACCGTTGCTTGTGCGGCTGGATCCGTTGAACACGACCCTTAATTTGGTGGTGCGATGGTTCTCTCGTAATACCCCATGATGGGGAAGATAATGTGCCGGGAACGTCTGGCCGGAGGACGTATCCGCTTCCACCATGTGGCCCATGTGCTGGTACTCGTTAATAAAGTCGACGTAGAGCTGCTGGTACGTACTCTTCGAAGAGAATTGCTGAAACAATCTCCTAAGGCAACCGAGAGCCTTCGACTTGGATTCTCCTAAAGCGGATGGATTAACCTTAAGGGGGAGACGAACAACGTATCTGCCCGTGGGGTCCCGTGAATAAGTAGACAAGAAGTGTTGTTCACACTCCTCCTCCTCTTCATTCAACGTTGCCCTGGTGGTATTAGGGAGCTCCTCCTGCGTCCAAAACCTCGAGATTAAGTCCTGCAGTTCGAAATCTGGTGAGCAATGATACACTTGCGCCGAAAGGGGGTCTTTGTCCGCCAATGTTAAACCACAGAGGACCCATCCGAAAATGGTTTGCTGCGCCGTAGGTGAAGAGAAGTCGCCTGGTATTAATCCTGGTCGAATCACGACATGATAGTTATCAGAGCCGAATATGATGTCTATCGGTCCGATGAAGGAATAATCCGGATCAGCTAGCTGGAGTCCTGAAATGTAAGGCCATAAAGGAGAGCTCACATTAAAAGGTGGTAACTTGGTCGTAAGGCGTAACAAGATGAAGGCTCGAATTTGACAGCTGGAGGCTGTATCGTGGACGGACTGTAGTCGTATCACGACACTTCCCTTCGTGCGACTGGAATATGTGCCACCAATTCCGAGGAGAGGTATAGAGGCTGCACTACGGTATAGTTGAACTCGATGTACCAGATTCTCCGTGATAAAGGACAGTTCTGTTTCCTGATCGATCAACATGCGTACAGGATGATGTTTTTCATTGCTTGTTCGTAGCAAGGTTCTACTAGTAGCAAGCAGCGTGAGCCTCCCCGTAAGATCTGCCTGTATGGATTGGTGAGCACACGTTTTTAGTTGTCAGTCAGCCGGTGGTTGTGCTTCTAACTTCTTCTCGGATGGATTCGCCGTGTTCATGCCTAACGTACTGACATAATGCATCGCTTTTGATGTTTCGTTATGGACCGCATGGATGAAAGTGTGATGCTTCTTTCCACATTTCAAGCATCGTTTCGTGGTCTGACATTTCCTGACCGGGTGAGGAGCAAGACAATTGAAGCATTTTCGGTTCCTGATGACAATGTCCTTGCGCTGTTGAACCGTCTTGTTCTGATAGCTCTCACATTTTGCTAAGGAATGTGAAGATCCGCACAGAAGGCACACAGAATTGCTTGAGGCCGGTGTAGACGCAGCGACATGCGCCGCGACTCTCGAACGATGCTTCCCAAAGGGAGTGGCAGCAGGTGTCCCTGTGGTCGAAGTGAGACCGATATTCTCCATTGCTCGTGTCCTTCCTATGAAGAATTCCTCGAATTGAACGTAGGTTGGATAAGTCGTGGATAAACCAAGTTCGACTTTCCATGCCTCACGAGACTCCGGGTCGAGCATCTTCACAAGATGGTGCAGTAATAAAGGGTCCCAGCTACTCACAGTGCATCCCAGAGAACGAAGCGCCGCAGTTGCCTCAGAGATAGTTGTTAAGAGAGTGCGAAGACCTTGTGCACACTTTGTCTTGAGTGGCTTCAAGCTCATGATTCTGTCCAGCTGAGAAGCGATCAAGAAGCGCTTATTTTCGTACCGCGAGATTAATAAGTCCCATGCGATAGAAAAATTGTCGCCTGAGATGGACAGATTGCCCACCAATCGAGCGGCCTCTCCAGTGACGCACGTCTTGAGATAGTGCATCTTCTCCACAGTTGACAAGTCCGGGTTGTCCTTGATTAGTGAGGTGAACAGATCATGAAACGACTTCCAAGATTGATAGTCTCCGGAAATGGTTGGCAATCTTATGCGTGGCAAGGCACTGCGTGGCATCAACGATGTAAATGCTCCTCGATCCGAAAGCGTTGTTCTAGAGTGGCGGTCCGTTGTGTCAAACTCGTCTAGGTGCGTTAATAGTTTGGCACGAGCATAAACGTAGAAGGCCTGACATCGTTCGTATACGCGCTCTCTCAGGTAGGAGTGTTCGCTCAAGGCATCATTGTCGGATAAGCGCAAGTTCTCATGTTCATCTTGAAACTTATTCCAGTTTCGCTCGAGCATATCCAGGCGCGCGCTGACCAGCTGACGACTCGATCGGGGTGCATGTTCATCATCAAGATTCGTCGATTCCTGTATAAGCGTAAAACGGCTCTGTTGGAGAGCGATCCTTGTGTCCAAATTAGACATCTTGTGACGTAGTTTGGTGTGGAATTCAAATAGTAAAACTCTGACGCGGATATCCGGCTCGAAGGACCAAATAAAATGTAACTAAAGGATGTGGGTTCGGATCTGAGTTCCGCGTCGAGCTCGTATCGAGTAATAATTAATACCTGAAAGTAATAAGATCTGAGGAGAACAATAAAAATATCAAAGGGGGAAAGAATTTAAACAAGGTGCTATTTTTAAATCGAGAAACATCAATTATATTACTACGAGAGAGTAGATTCAAACAATGTATTGAGTTGGAACCATAATAAAATTATTTAAACAACAGGCTATAAATTAGAATTATCTTAGTAACTGTATGACTGTCCGCTTCGCCGGTGGCGATTTCAATCTGATAAAACGCGACGAGAAAGCAAGAACTTTGGCCAAAGTATATTCAGAATAGAACACATTATCGGAATAATAATAATATATCAATAAGTTATTAATTGTTATAATTAAAATGTTTCTTAATCTAGAACTCAAACCGAAAGAGAAACCGTCGCCGAATTCTGTTTAATAATCATAAATCTAAGTTCAATATGAATGAATAATAGTCGGTATTTGTACAAACATAAATTAATCGTTATAGAATGTGTAAGGACTGTAATAATATACATATCTGTAAATGATGTTGTCGTATCAAGACGAATCACAGCGCAATCGCTATGGTAGAAAAGTAAGAGTTGATTAAAGCGCGGTTACCTCGAGCAATCACCGAAGGAAGAGGTGCAAGAGTCGGCCAAAACTCTTTTACCTTTTGAAGGAGGTTCGGCTTGTTCAAGGCCGAGAAGCCTCCTTCCTCTACCCTGGGGCGGGGAATGTAGCTGCCCTTAAGAGCGGACGTAGTACGCAGAAAACCAGGCAATGCCGTTATGGCGGACGGTACTACGCCGCGAAACGAGCGAAGTTCGCTCTGGCCACCAAAATTTCGTGCTGCCCTCGAATATCTTTGATAAGGAATGGCAAGGGTTAAACCCCGAAAATCATCCGTAGGATGATTTAGTAGCTGCCCTCAAACTCAACCGTGTATTCACTTTCACTCTCGTAATTAGCGATCACGACACAAGCTCGTAGGAAAAACTTCTTCCTTTCTCCGTTTCCAAGCAAACTAATAATTAAAGCAGCAGCGCGTTGCTATGGTTCTCTCATGCCGCTGTACCAGCGCCTCCGCGGCCTCGCGCTATCGATTGTGTCTAATATCACAGTGTGCAATTGCAACGTGTCCAATTGTACTGTGCGCAAGTGAGCCTCTCCCTTGAGATTTAGCCCTCTTTGTCGGCGCAAACGGTGTCGGTGATTTCGACTACTTCCGCAACACCTTCCGTTCTAGTTTTCTTTCTATTACCTTTATTTTTGTTTCTAATTCGTCTCCTCCTGCTACCCCGGTTTCCTTCTTGCCCCCCTCTCCTACTCTTCCTTTCTCTTCCTTAATCAACTTTCCTAATTTCCTTTCCAGATTTTCTATCCTTCCTCTCATCTCCCTTCTTTCTTCCTCCCATTCCCTCTCCCTCTCTCCGAATTCCCTTTTTATCCCTTCTCCTTGTCCCGCTAAACCATCTTTGATCTCTCTTTAATCCTCTCTTATCTCTTCTCCTAGCGATTTTAACCCTGTTATTATATCCTTTCTTAATTCCTCTCTCAATTCCCTCTTCCATCCCTCTCTATCTTCCTCCTTCCTCTCCCCCATTGACTTTGGTGATCTTACTATTATTTTACTTGATCTAAACATAGAATCCTCTTCGTTCTTATTATCTTCTCTCTCCCTATTCTTTTTCAAAAATTCTGATATATCTCCTACGCTTCCTTTTCTCTCTTTCGAATGCTTAATACCTCCTTTACCCATTCTCCCCCACTTCTCTATCCCCGTTTTCCTTTTCAACTTCTTGTTTTATACTCCTTTCCTTTTCGCTACTTATCTCCTCCTTCTCGTCTCTATTTGACTATTCTTGTTTCCCCTCTATCTACTCTCTTTGCTTCGTGCTTTGTCGCTCACTAGCGTTCCACCTCACTTTTCCCTAGCGCGCGCTGCTTCCCTAGCGCCACGTCGCGTCTACCACTCTACCTACTGTATACTCCGTGCCCACTCGCACACAACGGCCGGCTCGTAAATGACCTTTTATTCCCTTCCCTTCCCACACCCAGCTCTCCCTTAACTCCTTCACTCTCTCCTTCACCACCATTCCCTGTCACTCAGCACCTCTTGCATATACGGCGGCGGCAAAAATATATAAAGATTGAGATTTTGACGATCGACAGCAGTCGTGCATCGTTCTTGCAATAATGCAGTACTATTATCAGCATGATCGCGCCAACGTTTGTGGATCTGCAAGGATTCATTATCGGGATAAACTTTGTCGTGAAGGAAATAGCGATACTGAGAAATGGATTTGTTCTTTCTCACTACCTTTTTGCATGTCCCGTACCATGGCGTGCGCTTACAAAATCTGAGAGATGCCAAGCTTCATGGCTAATCGGACATCACCATGGGCTTCAATGGGAGGATGGAAACGTTCCATACAGCTTCGCCAGGCGTTTGATTACGAGAGCTGTGATGGGTGCGGCGGAAGAGGAAGATGGAGCATCTCCTATCGTGTACGTTAAAGGACACGAAAAACGAGAACGGCTGGCCGATATACTTGACGATGATGCGAGAAACGACGTTATTATTGAAACCTTGGTTGCGGACTATGAAAATATCACTTCGTTAAATAGCCGTTCAATAGTCGTTCAATAGCCGTTCGATAGCCGTTCAAAGCCGTTCAATAGTCGTTCATAGCCGTTCGATAGCCATTCGAAAGCTGTTCGAAGCCGTTCGATAGCCGTTCAATAGTCGTTCAATAGCCGTTCGATAGCCGTTCGAAAGCTGTTCGAAGCCGTTCCATAGCCGTTCAATAGTCGTTCAATAGTCGTTCATATCCATTCAATGGCCGTTCGATAGTCGTTCGTATCCGTTCAATGGCCGTTCGATAGCTGCTCAAAGCAGTTCGATAGTCGTTCAATAGTCGTTCATAGCCGTTCAATGGCCGTTCGATAGCTGTTCAAAGATAGCTATTCTTTTTAAAATTTTAGTACGTTCAAACTAGATTAATATATGATACTAATAATACTTGTTTTTCTGTTTCAGAAGGAGCGCCGCCTTATTATTATATTATACATATTTTATATCTTTTTGTATATTTTATATTTTTATATTATTATTATTATTATTATGTTTTATTATTTTGAAACAGACACACACGACCACACACACACACACACATATTTGTATTATATACATATTTCGAATAAACTTCCCTGCCGAAAATAGTCGATTAAAACGGATTAAAAAAAATGTAATCCAAATTGATCGGGATTTCTGCACCGAAAATGTGGTATTAAAACCGATTGAAAATAGTCAAATCGAATTTAGTACGCTTCAGGCGA